CTCCGACCCGCCGCGGCCGAGCGGAGGGAGGCAGCCGGGGAGTCTCCGAGTCCGCATGCGCAGGCGGCGAACGCTCAGCGGGGCCGGTCCGGTGCGTTGGGTTGGCGAAGGGGAAGATTTGAGCAATCCGTGGTTTTCCGGCGTGGTGTTTGGAGAGGAGTATGAAGCCGCCGCGTCCGGAGTGGGACGGCCAAACCTGGTCCCTGCAAGTCTGAGGGGAGCTTTAAGGCGCCTAGAACAGAGGACTCGAAAGGAGCCACTACACTGAGTGTTCTGGGACAAATACCCACCGAGCTGAAGCGTCAGCCGGAAGCGACCAGGAGAAGCTGGGCTCAGTGGAGTAGAGTGATCTAATGGAGGTTTATTAAAGCGTTTCGGGGACGTAGAACACATAGTGGACCTAAGGCGGGTAAGTTAACAACGCCTTGGAAACTTGGGAACCCCTGCCCTTGGCTGTTCGGAACACCAGCATGACCAGGAAAAAAGCAGTTCTGGAAGATTCTGTGAAGAGACCAGGGAGGCCAAGTGGGCAGCGGGACTCGAGAATGCTGCCAGCGTCACCTGTAAGAAAAAAAGGAGACCCATTAGAACAGATCACGCCTCTTGGGCACACCAGAGGAAATCAAGAGACAAGTGAACCTGAACCAGATAAAGCTCCAAGTTACTCGATTTGGCATTAACCTTATTCATAGCCATTTCCTCTGGCTTTCTAGAGATACTTTACATGGGCTAAAACAATGCTTTGTGTGTAAGCTCTGTCAAGTGCATACTTTTTACTTTACTGATGAGTATGTACTTCCTAGTGTGCTAGCTATTGATACTTCGTGCTTTAGAACTCATGAATTATAAATAATAGTCAATTTGTGCTTTCTTGAACACATGCCAAAGATGGTAAAAGGAGAAAGGCTTCCATTCCAAAGAGAATGGAAGATGAGGGAAATACTAATAGGTTCCACAAAGAATAAAAACTAAGTCCCCGATTAATTTTGGGGAAGGCAGGAAAATATTGTGAAGATCAGAGAATTCAAGTCCAGGAAACTCCAGGGCTGTTAGGTAAATTAATTATCTTCATCTGTAAAGTGGACATGATCCTGATAGCCACAAAGGCTTGAGATTTCCTGAAGCAAGTACAGGTTCTTGTACATCGTAGTGTTACACAGAGTATTTATTGTTCTAACAAGAGTAATGGAGACTCAGAAATTACTTCGGATTTTTCTTTTGTTTTTGGTTTGCCCTTTTCCCCTTAAATCACAAGGAAGTGTGAGTGGAAGAATGGCAGTTCAGTTCAATGTTCACAGCATGCTACTGAACTCATGCAAATAGGTACTGTGGCCAAGCCAGCCAACAAAATGCTGAACAGAGTGAGGAAAAAACTTTGTAAACAAAAAACCTTACTTCTAGGTTTTGAATTATCACCAGAATGCTGCCTGTGATTTTGGTCTTAAGGAAAAAGTAATAGAGCTAACAAGTTCTAAGGATGGAAATTTAAAATGACTAAGCAGATGAAAGACATCAAGTTATAGAAAATGAGAATAGCAAGGGTCTTCCTTCAATGGTGAGTGACTTGAAACATTTTAATTGATCATTTACATAACTAGTAATCCCCTAGTGTTAACTAAACTGTACAAACTATCCCTTGAAAGAGATTGTTTTACAACAAAGAATGTAACTTTAGACATCTAAATGAATAAGATGAAATCATCTGTAAAATACATAGAAATGTTTCCTCCATTGTTCATCTCAGCATGATTTTCACCTGATCACTCTCACCAATAAAACTAAGAACAAAGTAATCCTGTGATTGTAAAAAAAGTTATTATAGTATTGTTTGCATTTCTCATCATTTATTTATACAGCCTTTTGTAATTAAAGATTAAGTCTCTACTGTAATTCATGAAACCTATTATAAAAGCAAAAGACTTAAAACATGGGTAGTCAGACCAGCAGATGGCATAATGGTCATGTCGCTGGGCTCTCACATGGTTGACTGTGTTCAAGTCTCATCCCAGCAGCTTCAAGTCCCATCCTACGCCGGGCACATTTAAATGCATACCCAAAAACATGAGAGGAAAATGGAGGAGAAGGGATCATGGCATGGCCATCCCTGCTGGAGACTGATTTCTCACTTTCTGTCTTTGTCTCTATCTTTCTGGCGAGCACACGCACACTATAGCAATGCCTCTTAAAAAAGAAATCGGTAGCACATTTAAACAAATTACAAGTCTATCAAAAATTAAGACTATTATATAGTTGATCTAATTTATGGCCAAGAAAAATGTTAGAGAAAAGTGGACAGATTTAAAATACAATGTAGACAAAAAGGAGGTAAGATTTGCTGACAGTTGATTTACTTAAAAACACTCTTCACACCAAACTAAAAAAAAGGGCAGCATTAAAATTAATATAATGAATGCTGCAATATACATCCTTCTGCATTTGTTTTACAAACTTGTACTTTTATTTTTAAAATAATTATTTTATTTTATTTATTCATTCATTTTATTTTAATTTGACCAGACACACACACACAGAGAAAGGGGGAAAGTGAGAAAGCAAGCCATCAGGTCCAGGACTCGAACAGAGATTGCCCATGTGGGAGTGTCCAACGCCTTAACCTCTACACCACAACTGATTCCCCCAAACTTGTACTTTTGTTTCTATAAAATGTATTTCTAAAATTGGGATTGCTTAGTCAAAGAATTCACACATTTAAAAATTTACGATGTGTCTTCAGGTTATTTTTCCTGAAGGATTAATACATATTTCTATCAATTGTTATGTTCCCACATACCTAACATCACTAGATATAATTGATTTTCATAGTTCTGCAATTTGATGAGTAAAAAAGGCCCTTTCTGTGTCAAGTTAACTATTTCCAGGAATTTAGGTGTTCTGATCAGATTTCAGTGACTTCATGTAAAATTTGTCTTTAATACTGCCTTCAGTCAACTCACCCATCCCATTCATGCTGTTTATTGGCTCCTGGTCACTTCCATCTCTGCTTCCATCTTCATATTACTATCTCTCACTTTTGACCTCCTTGCCTCCCTCTTATATTCTTTAAGACCCACTCAGATAATCCTCAATATCCTTCCCCGTTTCCTCCCCAGGAACCTCAGTTAATCACATCTGTAAAATCTCTTTTGCTATAGAAGATAACACTGCAAATTAAAACACAGATTCCCCCCCGGGAACCATTATTCAGCTTAACACTGTATTTCCCCTTCATCAGGTAGAACATGATTTCCTTCCTGACCCCCTTGTGGGCAGAACTTAGTGACTAACTTTCTAAGAACAGTGTATGGAAAATGGGTAAGATAGTAACTTTACTGTGGAGAAACCTACAAACAATAGGTTGGTCAGGTGGTTAAGGTTAATCATCAATAACAAATCCTGTTGATAGCATATACTTTCTAATATGATGTAATGAGAAGGACAACTCGCTTCTATTCTTCCCAAAAACCTGTAACTCTCTTTAGTCTAAATGAAATAAATTAGATGAACTAAAATCAAAGGATATTCTACAAAATACCTGATCAGTACTCCTCAAAACTGTCAAGGGCATGAAAAACAAGAAAATATTGATATACTGTGATAGATAAAACTAAAGCAACCTAACTGATGCTTAAGACTGTAATATACTCTCATAAACTTCTAGAATACAAAAAGGACATTAGTGGAAACACTACTAAAATCTGAACAGAATCTCAAGTTTAGTTAATAGTAATATATCATTGCTGCTCTTATTTTTGATAAATTTACAGTAGTTATATAGGATGTTAACAATAGGAGAAATAAGTGAGGTGAACTCAGGTTCTCTCTGTACTGTCCTTGTACCTTGAAGTTTTAAAGTTATTTTAAAAATAAAAGTTCATTTAAAATATTGCAAAGGCTCTTAAACATTTTTAAATCAACTGTAATAACTCACTTTTGTGTATCTGTGTCCAAATAAGTTCTCATGAATTTAAACTTTCTTCTCTTGGAGGAGAATTAGTACTTTACAGAGATAATTTTTTTTTTCTTTTTTTTTTTTTTTGGAGAAGTTTTTGCTATAGGGCACGTGTGCTCGCCAGACAAACAGAGAGAGACAGAGAGACAGAAAGCGAGAAATGACCCCCCCAGGGGGGATGGCCATGCCGCAATCTCTTCTCCATTCTCCTCTCGGGATCTTGGGCACGCACACACACACACCCGGTATGAGTTTAAACCACCGGATCCAGGACTCGAACTGCGGTCGACTATGTGGGAGTCCAGTGACATAGCCATTGCGCTAACTGCTGATCCCGGTACTTTACAGAAATAATTTTAGCAGTCGTTTTTTTTTTGGGGGGGGTGGGTGGTGGGAGACTGGTTTTCTTAGAATTATTTATTTAATAACATTTATTATTATTATTGTTATTATTTTAATTTGCTATAGGGCACATGCACTTACCAGAGAGTCAGAGAAAGTGAGAAAACAAGCCTCCAGGTCAGAACTCAAACAGTGGTTGGCTATATGAGAGTCCAGCACGTTAACCCCCACACCACCTGCTGGTACCTTAGCAGCAGTTTTAAACCAGTTCTTACCTCTTTTCTTCCATTCTTCTGTTTTCCACTCACTTTGGTAATTGTAGATTATTTTAAACAATCTGTTGTTACATGTGTACATTAGGAATATTCTAGTCCATATAATCTATCAAAGTGCCAAAGAGAAATGCATTGTATTTCCTTATTTTTTTTAAGATGTGAACAAGTGCATTTAAATAAA